AGATACAAGGTGAGATGAAGTATATATCTTGTCCTCCCAAATAGAGCATTGGTGGTTGAATGTTTTGAAATAAAATTCGAAGGGTGTGCCCAATTCGAAGAGCTGTATTCAAGTTTTGGCTAAACAGGTGATGAGCCTGTGATAAAAAAATCCAGTTGCTTGATTATTCCGACAACACCATCTTCATTAATAGTAATTCAAAGTTTACACAATGGAGCATCGTCACTATAACCCCCACATCTTCTTTGAGAAGCTGTGTTAATACTTTACATTATGTGAATAGAACAAGAAATAAATATGAAAAGGCTTGACATCGTTGAGAAACACGTGCTTAAATTAAAAGAAATTAGATATTTATATAGATGTTGCAGACAAAAAATTCAAACGTAATAGAAAAGCAAAAGAGAAACACTTTGATCGTATAGTTTTAATCCCAACCTTGAATTAGTTGTTTTCCCGTTCAAATTGTAGATGATCTTATCCATCCGATATATGGATAAAATTATTTTATTTAAACGTTTGGGTAGCCGTAAGATGCCATGAAGAGTGAAGACCTTGCATCAGCATGTTGCACGCCTACACACAAGCTTGCGTGAAGTGGGCTAAGCGGAGCAGTGCGCATTGTTGGTGTGCCACACCTCTCTGAATTTACTTTTTCCTAGTTGACGTTTTCAAATTACATGTCACTAACAAACTATTTAGAGATTCCCAGTTATGTACATAGACAATTCATAACAAAGTAGCTAGCAGAATTTTTAAAATGTATGAGATCGTTTGTTTGATGATTAAAAATAATGTGTACAGTCCCATTCAATTTGGGTGAATTTGCCGATGAATATCTTTTAATAGCTTTCACACAAGTTAGTGCAAATATTTCTCTCATGTGTGATTTAACTGATTCTAGAGTTGAAAATTTGATAGAAATGTTAATACAAATTTTACGTGAATAAGGTTAGTATGTTTTTATTGGATTGATTTTAGTTCCACACCACACTAGACCAAACTAGACCAAATCACACCTCGACAGTTGTGAAATACATACTGAACAAACATCTACGAAATCAGACCAAATCAATTCAATTCAGATCCAACCAGATCAGACTACATAGAGATATAGTGCAGTTAAGAGCATCTCTAATTTCATTCTTTTGACATTGTCAAAAATTGCCACATCATCAATTTTAAAAGATATGATATTTTTATTTCCAATTTTATCTCCGATCCAATGCACTCTTTTATTGGTCCTTCTAATGTAACATGGAACCAACACTTTCAACTCCAATGCTGGAATTCCAAAAGTGTGTTTAACATTGTGAAGACATATACTATAGGTCTATACCACACAATTATATACATATGTATTATACATATTTCCCTTTCACTTAAACCGAGGTATTTTTTTGTCAAATGTATATTGTGATACATTATGTTACTTGTTTTTATTTATGCTACTAGATAAATGAAAAGATGAGCACACATAGTCGTAGAAACATAAGGATTAAATTTGAAGGGGGATTCAATTCCTTGTGAAGAAACCAACTCCTCCAGAGAAGAACATGCATACACATCTTCTTGCCCAGATCTTCTAATTTAAGATCGAATATGGTGGTGCACAATTTTATTTGCTGCTTGTTTAGCTTTTTCACGTACAACAAGAGTCTTCTATTAGTACCTACTATCTCCTATATATTTTAATATATCAAATAATAAGTAGATAGTAATTAATATGTTAACAATATGCATTTAAGACTTCTTGTTTATTTCTTTTAGGACACATTTACTTCATGAGTTACTAAACGGTGCTTATTAAGACCCGCGTTAATAAGTGGCACATAAAATAACCAGTGTTGTAAGTTCATGTTTATTTCAAAAGATTTAAAACACCGTTTAACATTAAAATGTCCAAAAATCACACCACACACACACAAACATTCATGTACACAAATATATAATATAATATGTGGGGCCCACCTTGTACGTGTACCCAACCCTTACTCTGATCCCTAACTCCCCATCTCCCTACCCCCAATTCCAAACCCTACCCCTTGACCCCTACCCCCACCACGACTTACCCCCTACCTCTACTCCCCCACCAGCATACCCCTTCCCCTAACCCCTTCCCCTATCAGCCCGTACGTATCCCCGACCCTTGTACCCCTAACCCCCTCCCTTACCCCTACCTCGTACCCGTACCCTTACCTTTCCCCCTACCTTGACCAGTATGCTCGTACCCCTACCCTTAGGGTCAAGGTAAGGGTATGGTAGGTAGGGGTAGGGCCGGTGAGGGGTAGGTAGGGGTGAGTAGCGTATAAGGGGTATGGTCGTGGTAGGGGTAAGGTCATAGTAGGGGTATGGGTAATGGTTAAGGCGGGATAAGGGGTAGGGGGTATGGGGCAGGGGGTAACAGAGGGAAGTGAAAGGGGGACAGGGTAGCGCAGGTCCGGGGACAGGTAGGGGTAAGGGGTAATGGCCGGGGTGGTAAGGGGCTGGGTAGGGGTGGGTTGTGACAGGATACGCGTTGTGGGTAGGGACGGGGCACAAGAGGGTAGCTTTATGGACTATGGAGGGTAGGGAAAGGGGCATGTGTACGGGTAAGGGGTGGGGTCGGTCGGGGTGGGGGTCGGGGCAAGGTAGGGTAGGATAGGATAGGGGTAGGCAGTAAGGGTTAGAGCATGGGGTAAGGGTAAGAGTAAATTTAGAAACTGAAAAAGGTTAAAGCGTTGCTTAATTAATACCCGAGGGGTATACTTACTAAGCGGCACACTAATCACCTCGTTCGATTAGGAATCAGCTTTTAAGAAGCTCGCGTGTTTAATTCACACGTCATACTAACTTAACTGTGACTTTAGCAACGAAGTAAACATGTCCTTAATGTGTATCTCACGTGGATAAACAATACTCCGTACTTTGTTTTTAATAAATGATATTTGACAAAATTTGCTTTAAGGCAAAAGAGAAGCGTTGAAAATGCTCTAAAGACATCTGACACCTTAAAGGCTTAAATAAATATTATCTCCAATGCAAATATGTGAACGGTGCGGTGCACACATGATGATATATACACACAAAAAAATTAATAGAAAGTCTCTTTCTTTCTTTCTATGGCATAATACATTTTAGTTAATTACTTTTTATTCATAATGTGCTTGACGTTATGAATAATAAAACTAGTCAGGAGTAATATTTACTACCGGTAAAAAGAATGTGAACAAATTTCTATTAATTGTTTTTTTAATATCTATATATCTCGTTTGACACTTTTATATTAGAAAAGTTCCAATACAAAAGCATTCGACACTTTCTACACCCATTTATCACTTTGATTCAGTGTTCTAAAAGGCCCACAAAGGCGGCGCCTAGGCCCAACGCGCGACCATTACGCCTCGCTTAGTCAATAAGCGTGATAAAAGGCGTGTGGGCCTGCAAAATACAAATAATTTAACGATAAATAAAAGCCCAAGATCATCTAAAGGCTTCCTCGGGAGAGTAATAGATGCTGATCGCTCAATATACGTAAAGGCTTCCTCGGGAGAGTAGTAGATGCTGATCGCTCAATATACGTATATAGCATTTTGGAAGGAGGTAGGCTTCCTCTACTTCCGGTGTGGGATAAAGATCTTCCACATGTAAAACTAATCACCAAGCGGGCAAATAGCACCAAGGCCAAAAGATTTTTCTACTAAGCTACAACACCAATACTTTTAAGAGTGAGTGCTCTAAACTAAATATAAGAACGTACTGTCATTTTATAAGCACTATAATATTTAGTTTTTTTGTTTAAAATATTTAGTTTATTTAGCACTATTGGATAAATGCATAACCTAAGCACTATGATTATATGATCATTGTTATCTATAGAGTGTTCATTGTTGCTAACTATTATAAGATTGATATTTTATTTTCATTATTACAATTATTATATGATCATTATTATGTTATTCTTATTACTATTATTATAAGATCAATATTATATAATGATTATTACAAATAATTTTATTATAGTTAGTCTTATCATTGAACTTTATTTTACCAGCTCTTACTCTTTATATACTAGATCACTAGATGCATAAAATAGGTGTGGTTTTTATAATTTAAAGTTTGTGTTGTTGGAAAATGAAGTAGAATTATACTTTGCATGATATTTTATAATATTACATTTACACATTTACTAACATATCTATAAAATTTAGATGAAAATTGTAAAAAAAAAAACTAAAACGCCTTTTTACGCCTCAGTCCCGCCTAAACTCGCCTAGGCTTCAAAGGCCTAAGGCTCGGGCGTGCCGCCTCATCACGCCTCACGCCTTTTAGAACACAGCTTTGATTACAAATAACAATTTAGAACAATTTTATTGTACACAAATTTTGTACACATTTAACACTTTTTTGTACATAATTGTCTGTAAGTCTGCACGAGCTGCCCATGTACACAAATAACTAGGACATGTATATTTTGTTGGATGGTGCAGCTAGTTCTATGTCTGATTGCCGTTTTCTAATCCACCTGATTATATTGTTTCTGCTTTAGACTATGATTTGATTAATGAAAGTTGATTTTATTTCTTGCAAAAAAAAAGTAGGAAGTCTATATATTATCTGTGTGCACAAACAATCCTGTACAAATGTGTGCGAAATGTGTATAAATTTTATAAACAAATACCATTTTTTCCTCCAAATTATAGCATAACGACTCTATCCTGGGATTACTGGCTCATTAGGATGTTTTTACTTGGACTGTAATTTGCTGGTCTGATCTGGTCTGATCTGTTTAAGTTTGATTTGGTCCGGTCTGTATAAGTTTTGTCTGGTCAGGTCTGGTACGCTTATGTCTGGGTCGGTCTGATCTGAACAAGTCTGATCTGATCTAATAAACGTCCGGTCTCTATGTATTTTATAACTACGAAAGTCAAGTCTGATCTGGTTTATTTAAGTCAGATCTAGTTTGGTCTGATCTATTTAAGTTTGATTTGATTTGTTTAGGTCCCTTCAAAATCATCAAAGTAAAACCATCTCCTCTGCCCGAAGCCGGAGATTTAATCAATGCTTGTTCTTCCAAAAAAATACGTTTTCATTTCTCTCGCCTCTCCTCTGCCCGGAATCCCCACGCCGCCGCCGGCGACTTCTCATGGACGTATATGTATTCATACCGGTCTCTGGGGTGCTGTATGTTATTGACCGCATATGATTTCTTTTGCGTGCATTTATTGATGCTGAGATTGTATGATTGTTATGTGTCATCCATTAATTGCTCTCCACTTGAATCTACTGTACCTTTACCGCTTTCTCTCTCTGAATTTCATGTGTTTTTTTTTCGTCTTTATATTCGTATAGCAGGTGCATATAATCAATGCCTATTTGCTGTTTTGCAGGCGGCCGGGTATTAAATACGAATCCTCACTCACAAACAGTGATTTGCGCCTAGAGATGGTCGAAGTTCGATGCGGCCAAGATTGCCCAGTCGCTATCTCCATTTATAGCACAAAAGCATTAATTCTTAGATTATTATCTCATTGCATTGAAAAAATAAATGCTCCGTTCCATTATAATGGCTTCCTATTCATCTGGACTATGCATTTAAAGTAAAGGAAAAAGCTTTTCTGCTATTTAATACTGCTCATAGTCTGTTATCTTTAATTGGATCTTCTTCACCTATGTCTGATGAGTTTATCTGTTTTTAGTTTTTCTAGGATGTAAATTTGCTCATCTACATGTATTTTGAGAATTCATGAAATGGTAGGGTTCTGTTCACTCACATAGTCTTAGGTCCTGAAACTTTCACTAGAGAGTTGTAGAGAATAGATTGACTAATGTGAAAACTGAACTTTCTAATAGAATTGGTCCTTTGCCACATTTGTTTTTGCACGCCCAGGCATAGAAAATGAGCATAAGAGTTGCTGGCATAGGAAACTACTGCGAGAGAATTCCCACTAAAACAAAGATAAAGTTCATAGATAAGACTATCAATGTTTTATTCCCATGAAGAGACCCATTCACTCCAATTTTGTGAAATTTTAATTATGCTATTCTTTTCATAGGACTTAATAAGTCCTATTTGAGGAATAAAACATACTTAGTCTTATTTTTGAACTTTGTATATGTTTTGATCCTATATTGAGCAAATTCTAAACTACTAAGTAGGTTAGGTTTTACACCAGAGAATTCTGGTCAGTATCACTTTGACCATGGCAAGATGAGAAATGGTATAAATGTATAAATGTATAAATGTATAATATAGCCAAAAACACATATCTAAGCACCCAAATTTGATAGGTTAGCCCTATTGAGACTCTCAACTCCTAATTCCACATACCGAGAGTGCTAGAGACTCATTAAGGCTTATGTAGTACTTTTACATCTTATTTTAAGTTGTCTTTAACGCGTGATTATAGATGTCACCTAGCTAATTAGCTATGACCTGGTGAAAGAACTAAATATAAGAGGATTTTTGTGTGTTTCTAATTAGGATCACTTATGTGATCACCTCATCAACTAATGCTTGTGATGTCTTGCATTGATGAAATTTTCGACTGAGGTGCATCAAAAGAAGTGTTCACTCGAACTTAAGTTAGCTTTGTGTGTGCTAAGTAGGTGCAATTAGAGGTTGAGGGGCTCAATAGGACTAACATTCCTTGTTAATGAGATAAAAACGAGTTTTACCTTATCAAAGCACAAAGATGTAGTTGAAAATAGAAACGAATTCACGGATGTTAAATACACTTCAGAGCTACTGGATTTATAATGGCTGGAAGTGAAACGGGGCATGATTTGTGTAGGCAAATAGATGTCATATTGTTAAGGTAATGTTAAATGGGCAGAATCCATAACATATTAAACATCAGTTTAGAAACATATACGGAGTAACATTCATAACCCACATAATTTCACACACTTGTCCCTTCTAGCCATGTTTTATTGTATTACTCTTATATTATAAATACGAATGGAGAGTTATATTGCATATATCATATCCTAACTAGTTCCGGATTAAGGCTAGTTGGGGGTACATATATAAAAGTGCAATTGTTTGAATTTCATATTCACTCACATGGCCTGAGACGTGTATATAGGGCCATTAATACATCATACCATGGCAATAAATGCTTATCCAGCACAGGAATTGTCGGTCGTATTTCTGCTTCTATATTATCTACTAGAAGAAGGTAGGAGTGGGTACTATTTCTACCTGACATGTCAACTACGCTGTGTTTGACTCTCTCTTTTTCACCCTGTCTTTCCGAAGACTAATTTTAAAGCATAAAGCCTGCTTCTTAGTTAATCACCATTTAAAAGTCATTTTAGAGAGGGAGAGTAAGAGAAAGAGAGAGAGAAGGGGAAGTGGAAATGGGGAGAGCACCCTGCTGTGACAAGAAGGGGTTGAAGAAGGGGCCATGGACGCCTGAAGAAGATGAAATGCTTATTGAATACATCAAGAAAAATGGGCAGGGTAACTGGCGTTCCCTTCCCAAGCTAGCAGGTCTTCTCTTTTATCTATTTTTTTTTCTGTTGCCTTGGGTTCTCTGTTCTGTTTTTTTATTTTATTTTTAATCCAAGCATTTTTTATACCCCTCAGTTTCCATATTGTTTGTTAAGAAAACTAGAAATCTGTGTATTGTTATCCACGTATGACTACCATATAGAATCTTTCATTAATAGAAAAGTGTAGCAGCTTGGAACTTTGGTTTGTAGTTATGTGACAGATGAGAAACGTATTTTGCATGATTAGAAACACATTGAAGTGATAAGCTTCTTTTTACATATCCAGAATCTAGGGGTGTTTGGAACTTATTCTGCTTCCGCTTCTTTTTTAAAAGCAGAAGCAGAATCAGAATCAGTTTTCAGAAGCTGGTACCCCAGCTTCTAAAAAAACTTATTCTGAGAGTAAATTAGAGCTCCAGAAATGCTTCTGGAATTTCATCCAAACACTCCAGCTTCTGCTTCTTCTCCCTGAAGGAGCAGAATCAGTTTTGAGAATCAGATCCAAACACCCCCCTAATATACCCAAATACGAAGTATTTGCTCTCAAGGTAGTGATTAAGCAGTGATTATAGCAAAGTTTCTGCTTGCATGTGTCAAGTTCCAACAAGTAACAGTTCACTTAAACAGATTACCTAAAAGGTGAATAGTTTTGGTTAATATTGAAGGTTTTTTCTTTCTGTGTGTTTGTTTATATTTTTTCTTTATTTAATTAATAACCTACATATTTTCCCTTGTTTACAAATATTGGCAGAAATTTTCAATCATTTCCAATGGAGCCAAAGACTCAATTTTTTGGCTTGGGAATACGATGGAATAAACCAAAATGACTCACTAAACTGTTTGAGCTTCTTTGTTATGAAGCAACAGTTAGTCCATGTAATTTTCGACGCGATTTTCACTATGGGTCATTCTGAAACAGTCTCTCTGAGCTTTAGTTCAGGGGTAAGAATGTGTACATCTGACCCCCCACCCCCACCGTAGGTGGGAGCCTTTGCGGCACTTGGTAATGATGATGATGACGATGATAGACAAATATTGACAGAAAAAATGACTAGATCTAAGTGCTATGCTATAAATAATTAAATATAAGAATGTATCAACCTTTTGCTTTGTTTCTCTCTCTTCCTTGGATGCCTTTAGAGAAGTCTTTAATTTCCTATAGGTAAATTATAGATGCGGGGAGTGAGGGGGGTTAGGGTCAGGGTATGTTTGGAGGTAGAGTATTTGAGGGGCAGGAGTTTGGAGGGCCTAGCCTGTAAAAAAAGGACAAATAGGTGCACATTGGTGTCCCCACAAGTCAAGTGTCTGGGAAGGGTCTGGGGTCCCACCACAAGGGTGTATAATGAGTAAGTCTTCCCTTGTCATTTTGACAAGATTTGAACCTGTGACCTCACTGTCTAAATCGGAAATCACACAGCAACACCGTAACCGGTGTGCCGAAAATCCCCTTCAATAGTATGTTTCTAAAACCAAATTTAGGGTGTATGACACTGTTTTATAACTGATCAAGTTTTCATGTTATTCCTTCAATTTTTGTAAATCCTCAATTAAGAATTGATTCCACTTTCGATCTCAAAACTATTAAATTATTTCTACTTTCAGCCCAAACATTCTGTTTTTTCTGCTTTTGTTCTCACTCATAGTTTTTTTGTGTCATTGTTGCTACTTATAACTTACTGTCTTTGAATTGTAACCACTTATCTAGTCAATTTCTTATTGTTTTTTACAAGAAAGGTGGTCAGAAGGACTATACGTGATACTAAGGTTATAGTCGTGGGATCAAAACTCAAAAGTGAAAAAATGAACCTTGAGAAAAGTGGAATTGATTCCTCAATTTATTCCCAATGACCCTTGGAAAAAGTTCATGAAAGCTAAAAAAATAAAATCACCTTTGAAGTGTACAAGTAAAGGTGCCTCAAATTCATCTCACTCCAATGGAATTTCTTTTCAAAACCTGTCATTTCCCTAAAACTTTTTCCTGACCCTACCTCTACCTATATAAAAAATCATTTTCTATAGAGAAATAGAGTATTAGAGTAAACACACTTAATCTCACAGCATTCCAAAGGCTCATCATAAATAGTTTAAGATCAAGTCCGTGTTCAGATTTGCCATTTTTCTGCATGGATTCATCCCATTTCTATTATAGCATATGTATGTTTAGCATAGACTCTACATTCCTTTGTTTGAAAACGGTCATTTGCTCTCTCTATTTGCCTATTCCCTGGCATGGGTTTGTAATTTTCTTTCTACTAGAAAGAACTTTTTATCACATGAAGGTCTTCTTCGTTGTGGGAAAAGCTGCCGCCTAAGATGGACGAATTACCTCAGGCCAGACATCAAAAGAGGCCCATTTACCTCGGAGGAAAAGGAGCTTGTTGTGCATTTACACGGTCTTCTTGGAAACAGGTTTTCCTTTTTTTTTTGTTCTCCTTCAAAATCGCCCCCTTAAATTTTAGCAGACACCATTTATTTAGTGATGATGACACTACAACAACCCACTTTGTTCCCTAGGTGGGCTGCAATCGCCTGCCACTTACCTGGGAGGACAGACAATGAGATCAAGAACTTGTGGAACACCCACCTGAAGAAGCACATGCTTACGAGGCAACCTGGAACCCCCTCTGCTCGCCACATGGTGCAGTGGGAGAGTGCCAGGGTCGAAGCTGAGGCCCGACTCTCGAAGGAACCATCAGAGCTTTTGGTTCCATCACATTCTGTGGGGCCCGCAACAGACTTCTTCATGCGGCTGTGGAATTCAGAGATTGGAGAGTCGTTTAGGAAGCTCAGCACAAGGGAGAAAGCTGCTGATGATAATGGAAGTCTGGCATGTGAGACCTCTTCTTCATCAATGAAAGGAGGCAGCGGGTTGGAAGAAATGACCTGGACCGATGAGTTGGAAGATTCGTCTGAATTGGCAATACATCTTCTTTTGGATTTCCCTGCATATGATGATGACATGAGCTTCTTTGAAGTTTGAATTGTTCGTCTGGAGGAATTAGTGTTTTCGCCTCTCCCTATAGTGAAAGAGAGACTTCCAAATCCTGAGCTGGTTGTTTGTGTTTTAGTTTGGCTCCAGCCTGCATCAACAGCTTTTTTGCATCTCTTCTTTGTCAAGTACTCTTGATGATGCTTGAGCACAAGACATCATCATGTTGTTATGGTAACAGTACAAGTCATTGTCTTATGTTTTCAGTGTCCCAAGCGTCTTGACCAATTTTCCACATTAAACCACGGTTTAAATTTTTAGTTCGAACCGCATCGCCAGTCTACACAGTTTGGTTTTAGTTTTCTATCAAAACTGTACCCGACATGGTGGCCTTTAATCTAAACATCTGCTATCTGTAATAAACCGTACCAGGTGTGATATTCATATCTAGACCTTTACATATGTCCAATTATGTTTTTGGTGTATTCAGTATTTCTCAATATGTTTCTTACAACTGTTTGTATCAATTTTAGCCTTCTAGGATTACAAATTCAGGTGGCTCCATTTAAGTGCAGAAATACAGCATTTGGTAAACAAAGATCAAATTTTATAAAGCATGTACTCCGTATACTTTTCATTTATGGGTTTGCCTCGAAAGAGTGTCTTTCGGTATGGATTTAAAATATACGACTATATATTGTTCATTTATGGGGTTGCCTTGAAAGAGTGTCTTTTGAGAGTAAGGCTTGAATGTTGTTGTGTTTGACTATATATTTACATATTAAATCTTGAACTTTAAATAAATTAAGCAAAAGCAGATACTGCACCAAGCTGCATCACATTACCGAGTGCCTATATTGTACAACCGGATGTATGTACATCCGGTCCAATTAGGAAGACAGCCCGATAAGTAGTACAAACCATTTTTTTCGGTGGCACTTTTGTAATTTAAATGAAAAATCACGGCTTATGTTAAATGAGCAATATTGTACGTTTGATGAGCATCTGACCTATTTTATTGAGCATTAGGAGACTCACAATGAGTATAACGATTTCTGCTTCATATCTTCTCCTTTTTTTTTTCTTTTTCAATTATTTTCTTTTATAAAAACTTATTAAATTATATCTATTATCTACTCCTATTTATTTAAATTTGCGATTCTAATGTAATATGATACTTTTGAAATATGCATTGATATGACATTTAAAAAATGAGCATAACATTAGTACCAAATGAGCATTCACAACTTACAAAGTGCACATTCATATGAAAAACATAAGGTTTGTTAGTTGAACATCACAACATTTTAACTAAGCATCAAACCTTCGTTATTGAGATGAAAATCATGGTTTCTGGTGAATGAGCATTAATGAACTTTTAATGAACATCAGAACAATTATGTTGAGTATAGGAGTCTGATATTAGGAATCGTGATATTGGATTTATAACTTCTAATTCACTTTCTTTTTGTTATTTTTTTCTTTTATAAAAAATTATATCTAATGTAATATGTGAATTAGATATCAATATGAATTTATATAATCAACTCTTATGAATTTCAATGTGTGAATTTAATGTAATATGGTAGTTTTGAAATATGCATTAATATGACATTTTAAAAAATGAGCATAACATGAGTACCAATTGAGTATATGTAACTTACAAATGAGCATTGATATGAAACTCATAAGTTTTTTGTTGAACATCTCGACAATTTTGTTGAGCATCAAACTTTCTATATTGAGTAATAGAAACATGCAAAATGAACACAAAATCGGTACAAAATGAGTATACATAACTTACAAAATGAGTACAAAATCGATACAAAATGAACATACATAACTTACAAAACTTATTTGAAAATTTTAATGTACTCACACATTCATCTCTATATGCTCATTTCTTCTTAAAATGAAAAGGAGGAAGATCAGGAATAATAATTTCTTAAATCTTAATTCCGATTGAATAAATACTAGCTACAAAGCTCTGCATTAATAAATTAATTGGTTCTCGTACTTCTTCTATTCAAGTTCATAGGGAATCGTTTAAGTCTGGAACGGGAATCTGAGGGTCTTCTGCAGAGCTTAACTTCCACCCATGGCTACCGGCCCGCCTGAAAAGAAACCTCTCCACCCCCAAACAACCATATTAGCAGTTACTACGATAGGCTCAAAGCTACACCAGCCGCTTCCGTCTCCTGCTTTCTCATCCTTCGATGGACGATTCAAAAGCCACAGATCCGATGATATAATCTCGCTTGAAGTTCAGTTTAATTATACAACCGGATGTACGGTATATTTTACCCACATTACCGACACCGGTGGGTAAAGACGAAAATGGCAACTTTTATTGCTCATTTGCGATCCCAAATATACTTTGTCTTTATGGACTCAATCCCGGTCCCGGATTTAGAGAAGCTCAGGCCCGGCACGGTTATATCCTGGTCTAGGCAGATTCTGGGTACCGAGCGATTTGCTACCAATTCTAAATTTTAATTCACACATCGACTCTAAATTTTAATTTTAAATAATCTAAATTTTGAATACTTCAGATGAACCTATAAATCGAGTACTCTATAACCGTTTCCATAAGCTTAATCTCATACCCCGAATGGTTCGAGACATTCAACATATATACACATCTCTAAAGTTTGTAATATTTGGTAAATCTTTTATATCAAATAATCAAGGCAAAAGCATTTGTGTATACAAAGAACGAAACCGGGAAATGACACATCACATGTAGAATAAAACACACATGCATCAACATACATACATACAAACAAGAAACATGCAAATTCACAGCAAATAAACTAATATTTAAAATAAATTTGAAGCAGCAGCCGATTCGGGTCAGCCTAGGCAGCCAAGCAAGGCCTTCTTAGGGACCTGCCCGCTTGCCCGGAGCTTTGCAGCCGCCTCTTCAATTTTTAAGATCTCTTGGTTCCGTTTGGAAACAGCCACACTTCTCTTCTCTTCTGCTTCCTTATGAACCAAAGCTGCTTTGTTCTTCATCTTCTCCGCGTATTCTGCTTTCTTCTTCTCCAGCTCTTCCTGCATGCCAAAGTGCCCACCACCATTAGCAATATAATCTCCCAAATTTTGAATTTTGGATTGTGGAATGTCCGCAAGACAATTGCTCATTTTAAAATTTTCTGTAAAACTTCCATCCCAAATTTAACTTCAAACTAATGCAACTCCACATGTCTCAAAATCACAACTCTTAGCTTTCACGTTTATTGAGCCTACATAAAATTGTTTTTGCAAGTTCAATTATGTAACGGTCAAAATAATATTAAAATTACTTGTGACTGAACTGAACAAAATCTGACTCGAATTGCTCAAGATGCCGACTATTTCAACTATTTTTTTCATATAATTTTTTCTTCATTTTATTAAAAAATAAGTTTTAAGTATAATTTCCAACACTTAATCAGATTCAACCAACCAACTATATTGTTACCAAATGGACTCTAGTGCCAAGATGTAGTTTCATATGTTCCAAAGCTAGGTCTAATTTGAACTTGGTTGGCTCCATAGGGCCAACATTTAAGTCTCCCTTGGAATGTGTTCAACTCATTTGTCTACTACCCGAGATTGTTCTGTCTGATTTGGACTTCAGAAACATTTTAACGAAATATGTCTCACAAGATTAAGGGGTGTTTAGATCTGATTCAAAACTGCTTCTGCTCTTTCAGAAGCAGAAGCAAAAGTTGAAGTGTTCGGGTAAAAGTGCAGAAGTGATTCTGGTGTTCTAATTTACTCCTATAATTAGTTTTTAGAAGTTGGGGGAGATCGGCTGAAAACTGATTCTGATTCTGCTTTTAAAATAATAAACCAATATGTAAGGTCTAGGACATTTCTCTTTCTCTGGTCAATATTGCCCTTTGTCCCCTCCAATAACATGGGGTCATTTATTACTCCGTATAAGCTAATTAAAGTTGAGAACTATTCAATTCTAGCTTGGGTATAAATAGGGTTGGGCCGGCAAGAATGGTTTTCGCATAACCTTTTTTGTAATACAAATATTTTCAAATTTTGGGCCGGGCACGAAAAACGTTTTCGTATAACTTTTTTGTAGTACAAATATTTTCAAAATTTGGAACGGGGCGAGCTATTTGAGTTCACCCTCTTATGTGCTATTGGACATGTGTATATACATTACCTCTTACATATATGTATCACAGATTCCAGACTGAAATTACCTCGATCTTTTTCAATTTTGCTTCATAACTTGCTTTTTTGGTGTTTTCCCAGGACAGCACTTCAGCAAGCTGCTTTTGGGCCCTGCCATGTCGTTCCAATTGATAGGGGTTACTAAAGATGAGCGGAACTAATCACTCGTTAAATTAGTGCTAGCAAAAATAGTAAAGATTAAAAAAGATGTGCATGGCCTACTTGTTCTCTACTTTGCTCTTTTCACTCTCTTCCCATGCCTTAATAAAGGAATCTCTCTTCTCATTCTCGATCTTTGCAAGAGCAATATCTGTAGATTCAATACCGTTAACTTCATAATTGATATTTTCCCAAGCACTTCACTGTGTAAGTCTATAACTCAGAATCAATTTGAGTTTTGTCAATTGTCATTCATTCATTTTGTGTGTGGATTGTGGAGGAAGAAATAGTGAGTGTTTCTATTAGTTGATATGAGGGTAGGATTGAGTGTGCTAGATTTGTTGAGAAATTGAGTCCCAAATCGGATCTAATCTCACCAAACATGATAAAATGGTCCAAGGGCACTTAAATGGAACATTTTCCAACCCGCTCCCTAAACATGTTCTCCTTGTTAAATCATCTCACCCAAGTCAAATATATTGACCATTCTTACTACCAAGATACATAGTATTTTTTTAAAGTGAGTCTACACCTTAGTATTTCTCGTAATAGTAAAATATGAAACAATAAAATCTTATATTATTAAGATCTTGATATCTTATGAAACTAGTCTTAAGATATGGTATCACGTCACATTATACTCTAACAGGACTTGCAAAGCCTTCTCAAATATAACACTCACACCATATCAATACTTTGATTTTCATCCTAAAAAGCCAAATGCAGCTGGAGAAGAAGTACAGTTTCATATGTCCATTTGTACGGATAATAGTTGTGATGTTTGTGTGAGATGTATGGTCGGTCGGATTTATCCTATATACGTCACTCAAGATTGCCCCTACTCGTTTAATTACAATCTAGACATGGGAGATTGCTGCCATTGATGGCACCACAACAACATATGATCCAAATCCTAAAATGTGATGTGTTTTCATTCATGTAATTTTTCTTCACAAAATTAAGGTTACCTCTGTCCAGGGATGGCTTCGGGCCTGTACTCAACGGAGGATGATCAAGATTCTCTGACAATATAAGCAAACAAAATATTGGTTACATTCAAGATTCAACCTTTTGCTTTGACCAAAACAGAATCTCCAAAACTTTTTTTCTTTATGAACATTTATTTTATATCAACATTAATTCAAGAGTCATTGAGTTTGATTGGCAATTATTATATAATGATCTATTTCAAAACGCTAACCTAAAACACAGTGTTCCCATTTCGGTCTTCCGTCCAAAAACGATAGGACCTAATAATTATTTACCAAATAACGCTTTCACTTATTGAAAATATTATTGAAATGCTAAAGAGGGTCAGCTATTTATGGCTTTTCCAAACACCTTCATACCCGAAAACAATGGATTGGTATTTGCTAATAATAGTGATGAATATAATTACTGCTCCAATCCAAATTAAACCTTATTTTTACGCAAGAAAGCAAATTTCCCCAAAAGTTAGCTACCAAATTTATCTACCAATCGTGGGCAAGTCAAATTCACAAAACTTGTGCAAACATAGCTAGGTGGTTGAATAGTTAAAAACTTTATGAGTACTACCTCTACCTCCGGCAGTCATTTCCTTTTGAAGTACGCAATTTTTTTACAGAGACAAAGAGTATAAGAGTATTTACTGTGAGCGACGGCAACGGGCTTTTCCGGGAGGACCGGCGGGACAACCTCTGTGGCTGGCTCCATGTTATGAGCGGCGGCGGAAGCAAGAGGTGGTTCTTCTGGCTTCAGAGCGGCGGCTGGAGGAGGAGGAACCGCCGGTTTCTCTACCGCTACTGCTGGTTCAGCCGCTGTCTCCATATTTTATATATAGCCAAGACGTACAGAAGCAAATTAATTATATAAAGCAGCTCAGTAAGACAGCAGGAAGCTAAGCTAGCTGGCTTTGGATGATTAAAGCAATGAAGAATGATTATTCTTAGCTTCTTCTTCCACCTTTAATTTATTCGCTGTTAATTATACAATCAATACTCTACTGTGTGTGTGAATCAAGCTAAGTTTTTTGTACCAGTTGTTCTGCCATTTTCGTAAGAAGTATAAGTTTCATTTTATTTATCAAATTAAAGCTTCGTATTTATGTCTATGTCGGACAGTTAATGGATCTACGTGGACACGTGGCCAATCACCAAAAGCTACGGACTGCTTACTACGACGGATCCTATGCTACGCTTCTGCCACGCGATTGCAACGCGTGGTTTAACGGCATGTTTGCCGACAGATGATGGCAGTTTGAAGCATATTGAAAAATCGAGTGTTAGTGTTCGTGAACAATAACTTTTTTTTTATTATCCAGGAGCAGAATGATGTAACTCGTGTGTAATGAAATGTAACTCGTATTGTTACAAATGTAACTTCAGTTAACAACCAATGTAACTTGTGTCCAGAAATGTAACTCATGTTTAATGAAAAAAAGAGTCTAATTGTCCAATTATTTTACATAAATAGTGCATATGTTTTGTTTTTAATATTAGGTCCATTAAAAATGTTTTTAATAAGAAAATCATTTTTGATTGAATAACATAGGTTTATTTTGTTGTGCAACTCGCAATAAGCCAAATGTAAATCAAGTGTAATCAAGATGTAACTTATTGAGAAAAATTGAAATGTAAATCGTGTGTTACAAGAGGTAACTTTAGCCCAAACGAAATGTAATTCCAGTGTATGCGATATGTAACTCTATAATATCAGCAAAGAAAACAAATAACATACTAATTGATAAAGTGCAAGTTGTAAGATAAAAAGCTTAGCTTGAGGTTAATTTCATTCTCATCTCTTTAATGTATTTATATATATATATATATATATATATAGAATAGAGATCAAATACAAAGTCTTCTTAATTTACAAAGTACAAACTCATCTTGACCGTCCGATGAGTTGATCCAAAGGACATAAAGGCAAAGTGGCATTTTTGTAATAAAACCCAACTTTTTAGGGTGCAACTAGTTGCACCTTAATGTGCAACTGTTATTTTTATGACTTTATAATGTGCAATACTTTGAACCTCAATATGCAATGCAAATAACGTCAAGGTGCATCGTACAAATATTTGCACAGTAAGCACACTTTGTACTTGATCTTTCCTATATATATATATATATATATATATATATATATATATATATATATATATATATATATATATATATATATATATATTTGTGTTTGATCTAGTTGTGGTCTGTGGAAACATAAAATAAATGTATTTTGTTGTCAAACACACTACGTGATATCAAACTAGAGTCAAAGTAATGAACCACGATTTCAATTCTTTGTATTAAGAGTCGATAGGAGCGTGCGAACCATGATGGAGGAAAAAAACGAGGTTTGCAGACTCGGAGTGACGGAGAAGAACAAAGATCGAGCATGTGAACTTGTTTTTATTAATTGAAACGGTGCCGTATTGGACCGGTATACCATGCACATGGTATACCGGTCGTACGGTATAATTTGCGCAGATGATGTACTTTTATCAAATTCGATTATCCATTTGGATAATGATTCTAATTTATAGCATTTCAATATCTACAAATAGGCTATTTTCAGAGTGTTTTCAATATTTGGAGTACAATTTTGAATTTTCTAGATTTTCACATATGTATAGAGTTCTTTTTTTAATTCTGTTTTGAAATTGATTTTATTTCTACTTATGTTTTAAACTTTAAGCAGAATCAGAACAATTTTCAAATTTATCTCTCTCAACTTCTAATTTTTTTTGTTCAATATATGTTCTTACTTTTTGAAAGAGCAGAAACAGTTTTATGAAACAGATCCAAACAATCCTTAAATTGACTTAGTGCACTATTTATCAGAATTAAGAAACTTTTGAATGATACGCAAATGGGTTGATAATTGATACGCAATAGGTTGAGACATAAAAACTTATATTTGAAATATACTTTATTAGTTATATACATAAATATTATATGAAAATTATTTAAACTAGTTCTCTTTAGTAATTAAAATAACTTAAACAGTCAAGTTTTAGTTATATTAATCATTATATAATTTCAACACGTAAAATTACAAGTCACTTATTTTGTAAAAAAATGTCCGATAAAGTTGGTATGGCAAAACAATATTTACTTTAATGATTTTTTGTCTGAATTGCAAACTAAAACCAAACGTTGTATTATAAAAAAGGAAAAATAATATTAAATAATATAAACTATCTTTGATGGATCAAAAATAGTATATACTTTAGAAATAACTTTTATTAATATCAATTATTTGAATATCATACAATGCCAATTTTTCATTGAAAATTTAGTCAAGACCTCCGTCCCTAGCTTTTATATTGGGACGGAAGAGAGTGACACGAGTTTTAAAAAAAGTGGGTTTATGTGGTACGTAGATATTAATTGATAAAGTAAGAATGATTTTGAGCCACACAAACTTTGTCAAATAAGGTATGAGACAATTAAATAGGGACATCCCAATATGGTAAAACGAGACATTTAAAAGGGGACGAAGGGAGTATTATTTTTATATACAAATAGTTGGTATTATTAAAAATCATTTCCAAAGTATATATTTTCATTGATTTATGTGTGTTATTATTTAAAGTTATTTTCCCAAAAAAAATACATTCCAAAAAATCAATGCATTCCACATTCCAAGCGTGGGCGTATGTAATGTCACTCTACGACGTGTCCAGTATTACATACTATAACCCCTTATGTCATAAGAAGATTCGCAATACTTCTGAGAGTAGTAGTGTTTGAAGAAGAAATTATTTCAGTTTTCAATTTACAGATATTTTGCAAATTGAATGTCTACTTTTGTCAATTAAACGATACAAATTATTTCAATCTACATCACAAGAAATTTAATACTATCGTATTAATATCAAAAGTATGTGTAATATATGAATATTAGTAGCAATATTACAAAAATATGTAGTATCCTATCAAAGTGATGATTGATGAATATTAATTGTCAACTGCGCACATGGTAGCAGAATCGGTAAATGTTTTTTGAACCTTGCACGCCTTACTTTCACACGTTTCAATTCAATAAATGAACACATATGGTATAGACACAACATTTTTTTATAAGCTCGAATCAATGTAACAAAGTGATAGTTATAGTGACACTAGGATTTAACATTATTAAAATATGGCATATATGATATATAAATACTAAATTGTGGCTAAAACAATTTATAGATATTTAAGATTAATGAAATATGGCATTTCTTTAAATATTTCAATGCGATGTAAGTGAATTTTACACGAATGTTAACTTTTAGATTAATTTTACATGTATGTTAACATTTTGTTAAATATTATTACGAACTTTAACTATTATTTTAATTTATCAGTATTTTTTTGTTTATCAAATACGGAGTACATATATTTTGATTTGGCATGCTACATTATATAATAATCAATGTAAGCGAGTTTTAAATTTCACTTGTGATTGAGTTGACTCAAGCTACTATAGAAGATTATTTTATATTTACTTATTTCCCAGAAAAAAGCAACAATTATGTGAAGCTGGTGGGTTCAACTCATTCAACCGGTTTCTAGTAATACTAAAAAGTAGCACTACATTATCTTGGTTAAAGGTTTTCAGAAAATGACACAATTATTTGGATAACAATAAATAAAGTAATTCAAATATATTTGGTTAAATAATTTTAATGCATATATAATATAATGAAGTCATTGATGATAATTGTAATTTTATGGATATTTATTTATATTATTTTATGATTAAATTGTCCTTTAAGAGTGTTAATTGTTATATAAAATTATAATGAGAACCATTTTATTGGATGTACAAAAAAAAGAAGAGAAACTTTACACCACAATCCAACAAATATCTGCGACGGGCTCAAGGTTAGGCGGAAGGTTTAACAGCTTTGGTAGAAGACGGACGGCAGTGCGGCTTGGCTGGCGGATGAATTTGAGATGCGATCTCACCAAGGCTTCGTTTGGGGCTGGTTTTCGACAGTCTTTGTTGAAGGAGAGGGCCCTCCGATTTTGTCTGTGCTGCTAACGGGGGGGGGGGGGGGGGGGGGGGGGCTTCGTGGTGCGGTTGTGGGGTGTTGAGTTCATTCGGGCCACTCTGAGGGGGGATGATGGTGGTGAACCAAGAACTGTCTGAGGTGGAGCGGCTGGCCCAGTGTACAATAGTATGGTGATGGGTGAAGAAGACGAGACTTTGTTAGTGAAAGCCACAACTTTGGGTACGTCAGATGGGAGTCTAGCGCTTGTTGGGATCATCACCTCGAAAAGAATCATGTTCGGTCGGTGGTGAAGTTTCAATCATAGCGGTCATGTTGGTACGGCCTTCTCCTAAAACACCACCATGAAATGTACATGTTGGAGCTTTGGTTGTTTGTGGAAGACCTCAACTAGAAAGGATCAATAATAATGGAGCTTGACAAGAAGTTGAAGGCTCGTTTAGTTTGCATTTTAATATTGTTATTGTCCAATTTGATTTTTATGTTGGACCCTTTGTTTTTTTGTGTGTGTTATGCTTATGTGGTGTGTTGAATTTTTTATGCCGAGAAGTAAGAAGGATTCAAAAGTCGATATAATCTTTAAATCTTTCAGATGTTTAGCGATTCGATCTACTCTAGTTAGAGTGATAGTTTCAATATAATCAGAGGTTGAGGGGACCTTCGGATTATGATGAGTCTAGTAGCAGGATGTTGTTCAGTATTTAAAAGTTTGTAATGTCGTCCGTTCTACGATTTAATTTATATTAAAAAAATAGGAACTTTAAGTGAATTAAATGAATTAGTTTGGCCTTAAGTGTTTGATCCGGTCCAATTAGAAAATCACAAAGCCCAAGATCTGGGATAACCTACCCCTTCTACCGTACCAAATCATCCGATCTACATTCTCGCTCTACCGATCATCTCTTCTCCTTAGGTCGGACGCAGTCTACACCTCGCCGCTCGTCTAATATCCCGAGGTTAGTCGATTATTACTAAACGTCTTCTTATTTATCGCATCTGGTTTTGTTTGTCCTTTCTTAGCTTTTTATATCTTATCAGCAGTGAATAGATCGAGCTTAGAGGGTGATGTTGAGAATCGTTCGTCTTCTGTTCTCTCATTTAAACTGTGATTAATTTTCTAAATTAAGGAGCTGTAATAAGCTGCAATTTGATTACTAACCAATACGCTGGCAGTATTGCCTTCTCACGAAGGAGACCCAAAATTCTGCAGATTAACTGTGATCACATCCCACATCATCCCGTAATGACATGATGATGTCATAGTGACATCTTCATTGTCAGCTGGGAACAGTTATTCAAGGCGATCCAGCTTTTATATATAGAGAGATAGAGATTGGGCTATAAGTGGATTGGCTTTGGTGCTATGGTAGGTTTTGGTGTTTCAGACCAGCATTTGAACAAACCAGCATTTGAACAAAACTATACTTTATTTAGGATTGCATTAGAACAAACAGAGCCTTTTCTTAGCGAAATTGCTAACTATTCGTAGTTTTTAGATTCACAAAGTGAAGTTGTTGTGTTCAATATGAGAATAATCAATGCAGCAAGAAGTTTGTACTTCGTAGAATCATATATCTTTGTTGCGTTTACAACATTCCTTATTCTTATTTCTATTGGATGTAGAATATGGTGAACTGAAAGATTTTATTTTCATGTAATCCTACTGAAAATGGGCTGAATCGAAGGAGAAAATAGTGTACAAAGCTTGAGTTAGTATATGTAATATTTTTTAGGAGTTTACAACAGTTAAAAGTTTAACACATCTGGTAGTAATGATTATGTTTTACTTTTTTCCTTAGCAAAGCAAAAGAAAAGAATAAACAGAGCAATGGCAGGAGGTCATGTTGCTCATGTTGTGTACAAGGGTCCAAGTGTTATAAAGGAGCTTTTGATAGGGACTAGCCTCGGGCTCATTGCAGGAGGCTTCTGGAAAATTCACCACTGGAACACCCAGAGGAGAACTAAGGGGTTTTATGACATGCTTGAGAAGGACCAGATAAGTGTTGTCCGGGATGAAGAAGAGTAAAAATCAACATTAAGAAATCGTATCAATCTTTTGCTGCTTATGTATGCAAAAATATAAGACTGCAATATGTATTGGTATACAGCATTGTATTAAGGGGTAGGGAACCCTTCAGCCATTCTTCTTTTCATAATAATTGTTGATAACTTTTCTTGGATTGACATACTAGTAAGAAGACTAGTTTTGGAATTGTTATCTCATGCTGCTATGCATGCTTGGTTTTATGTTGCCTGTGATTATCCTATTTGTTCCCTCTTATTTTTTAATGAAGCCCACCAAGTAAACATCACGATGTCCATCCATTTTCTCTTCCATGTTTTGAAATATTATGGCTTAATCTCTTCTTTCCCCACGTACCTATGCTATATATTTTTCCTCAGTTGCTTCTCAGCCAACTATCCCAGATGTATACAGGCACGGGTCAATTCTCAGATAGGGGTTAAAATAATGTTAAATGCTATAATCGACAAACTACAAGTTGGCTGTTTTAGGCTTTGATATTTTTATGCTACCTATTTCTGCTCTTTGTTGTAAATATAAGTCAATAAGTATGACTTTTTAAGTTTATTATCCAACATATTTCACATACATTTTAAAACAACCTATAATTATTTAGAAATTGCATGTACATGACGAAATACCCATTCTTGTACGTTGTGGTCATGCATATGGGGAAAGAGTTTGAGTTTCCCTTTTAGTTGAGAGCTGAAGCAATGTTGTGAATTTGTTACTTGTCTTTTTACTCAAACTTGAGTTTCCCCTAGAGTTTATAATTTATATGATCTAGTACATCTAGTTTTCTACAAAGAATGGTGCACCAATTGTGGAAGGGCAAAACTGAGTTTTATTATTGCTTAACAATACCTAACATTTTGGGATGCTTGCTTAAGGGATTCTTTCACTTTTGTGAGTGTCTGTACAGATGTTAGAATTCAATTTGGAAAATAATAAATAAAAGGAGATGTCCTCGAATAGAATTGAAACCTATCATTATTCCTTAGATATCCTATTGACCCCTCTTAGATAAAGTGGCAATAAGGGAACTAGAACCTTACCTAGATAAAATTAATGTTGCATGGATACGAACTTGCCGATACGCGAGTATGAGTATGACATGACTTCGAAAGATATATGATAATGGGAAATCTTTCCGGTAAGATATACCTTACCGGAGCCTCCGTGCGGCCTCCATGTTTTGAGGGCCTTTCCGGTGAAATTTTTCGATGAATGTTTTTGAGCATATTCTCCATCAAGTCTAGTACATCCATACCAAATTTCAGCAAAAAATTCAACCGGGAAGGCAGCCAAACGATTTTTGAAAGATAACTGCGTTTTATATGTATATAAAGAGTGCAGTTACCTTCCAAATGACCAAAAATCATTTGACTGCCTTGCCGAATGAATTGTTTGCTGAAATTTGGTATGGATGTACTAGACTTGATGACGAACATGCTCAAAAAATTTCATCGAAAAAATCCACCGGGAAGGCCCTCAAAACGTGGAGGCCGCACGGAGGCTCCGGTAAGGTATACCTTACCGGAAGAGTTCCCTAAGATAATGTATGAGAGTATATTTATTTATAATAATATCATAGGGCATAAAATTGCAAATATATATGATTCAACGGTTCATAAATAAAGTAATAGTCGTACTTTCTACAAACTTCATTGAATAGATTTTATGGATTGTCCATAATAAAATTTCAAAGAATGATTCTGATTTAAGCTCGTCAAGTTACACATTGACAAATTGAAGTGTTCCAATATTCTTCAAACTTCCGAAATCATCTCCTTCAATGTCTCAAATCGTATACTTCTCACGACATTTCAAACACAGTTGGTTTAGAGTTGAAGACTTGAAGTGAATAGAACTTATCAAGTGTATGAGAATGAGAGAAGAAAAAGATAGATCACTATGTACTTTATGCGGTAAGAGATGCACTTGAAGCACGAGGATTGATGAGTGAGGAGATGAGGAGTTATGTTCACCTAAGCGATTACTTTGTTCTCGTCATGTTGTGTATGAAATCGGGGTTATAAGGTTAGATACGCGTATCCGTTCACGAATACATGTATCAAACACGAACACGATACATACATGACGTGTATTGAAAGTATCAATATCGAATACATGGATACAATATCGGGGTTAAAAATCATTGCACTGTGGGGTAGAACTATTTTGTTTCTGTCAAAAAAATTAGGGAAAATGTGCAAATAAGCCCACGTACTAATACAAAGGGTCAAATAAACCCTTATATAGGAAGTTCTGTCCGGCGGTCGTCATTTGGGGCGGTTCCCGTGGAATTTTTAGATGAACTTTTTTAAGCATCTTAATCATTAAGTCTAGTTTACTCATACCAAATTTCAGCTAAAACTTCAATCAGGAAGACATTCAAATAAATTCTCGAAGATAACTGTGCACTCAATCACTTTCCCTTAAATCTTATTATGTGACATAACTTTTTAATGAATGACATAGATCAACTTACAATTTAGGAAAGCTTGAGCTATATTGCCGAGTGAAGTATTTGGTTGTTTTTTTTTGTTTTTTGTTTTTTGTTTCTTTCTAATTTGCGGAATGATTTAAGGAGTGTTTGGGATTGCTTAAAAAAAGCGTTTTTTAGCTTTTGGCTTAAGAAAAGCTGAAAAGAGTGTTTTCAAATGACAGTTTCTGCTTAAATTAATTACTTAAAAACTAAAAGCTGGAAACAGGTAGAAAAGTGCTTTAAACTGCTTCTCACTTTTTCTATTACACAAAAAGTACTTATTTTACCAAACATTACCAACTTTTACTTTTTCGGAATCACTTTTTTCTCAAACACTACCCCTTTTACTATTAATCACTTTTCCCAAAATAACTTTAAAAAATGACTTTTGAAAGTTGAAACAATTTCAAACCATCCCTTTATCTTCTCTCAAAATTGCAGTTACCTTTCATAACGCAGAGCAGAATCACCTTTCATAACCAGAGAGTTGGCCACTTGAAGTCAGTGTGGCTTCGCTCAGACCGGCGGGATGGACTTCACCGCTGCATCGCCGCCGTCTTTTCCCTTTGATGAAATAACGTGGGGAGAGATAATATCCAAAGATGTCTTATCAGTCTACAATTCTCTACCGAAGAAAGGAAAGCCTCAGGGCCGCGAAGTCACCGTTTTGGCTGCATTTCTCATCTCTTCTCCAAATCACGGTACAACCCAATTAAAGGATTGAAATTTATAAACTCACAGTCTGTATTCCCTTTGCCCATGTAGTCATTTTCTTGTTAAATTCAAATTTTCAGAACTGGAGGTTGTTTCACTGGGTACCGGGACAAAATGTATTGGGCGTTGTCGACGCAGCTCAAAGGGCGATGTTGTGAACGATTCTCATGCTGAAATTGTAGCTAGAAGAGCTCTTATGAGGTTAAGTTTTATGCTCTCAGTTTTATCCTTACATCTGATAGGTTGAATGCTGAAATTGTATTGAGACTTGGTCGCAAATCCAAGATGATAATGCTCTCATATGAAAATATCAGCCTTCTTAGTTCTTTCAGAGCACTTTCTATAAACTAGAGTAGCAAGTAGTTTCTGTCCATTAATAAACTGCATTTTCTTGAATAAATAAAAATAGCTTATAATTATCTCTGAATCATCTCAGATATTTATACGGAGAGATTAAAAGCCTCAGTGATGGTTATCAGAGTCATGCTATCTACCCTAATAGGGAAATGTTGGGTACTGCTGGCAACAAAAACTGTCCTTTCAATTTAAACGGAGAAGATTTTGGTCAAAGACGATTAGTTATGAAGCCGGGTTGGGAATTACATTTATACATATCACAAATTCCGTGTAGGTACTTATTTCTAGTTCTTTTTGGGTTATCAAAGATTAAAGGTTTCCAATTTTGTCCTTAAACGCGTCACTTCTTTGTAGGTGGAGCAGCCTCACATAGTTTTGAACTTGCTCCTCAAAGAATGGACAATCAGCGTTATTCCTCCTTGGAGCTCAATACAACAATTGAGGGTATTAGTTATATTTCACTTCGAGTGGTTTTGTCATTATACCATGAACTGTTATGTTTGCAGGTTATCTTGTTGTCTAATATACTCATTGGTTAAGCTATTAATTGTGCACATATCTTATAACATGATTCTGTAATCTCACCATTTTTTGTTATTTTTCTCCTTCTTGAATTTCATACTGTATGCTCCTTGATGTTTAATCTCTCTATGTGCCATGTTTAAAGATGTCAATTTTTGTAGCTTTGTGCTATCATATCAAGTTTTCCATTTAATCCTTCCACTATGGGTGTTGATATGAAGACGTTATAATGTTAAAAAAAAGGTTTTTAACTTGTTATAATTAGATGGGCCGTTTATTTTTTGGACATCATTTAATTGTATATAAAAATGTATATAAATGTATCTTTGTGTTGTATCATATTAATTTTTTCATTTAATCCTTCCACTACGCGGTAGCCCACCGTAGGTCCCGCCTGTGCGGCACTGGGGTAAATGAAAATGATGAATCCTTCCACTACGCGGTAGCCCACCGTAGGTCCCGCCTGTGCGGCACTGGGGTAAATGAAAATGATGAATCCTTCCACTACGCGGTGTTGATATGAAGACATTATAATGTGGAAAAGGGTTTTTATAAGAGATGGGCCATTTATTTTTCATTTTCATTTTCAGGACAGCATTCAATTGATATTGGCACAGTTTTGAGGAAGCCCGGTCGTGGAGACACGACATTGTCTGTCAGCTGCTCTGATAAGATTGCCCGTTGGAATGTTGTTGGAGTTCAAGGTTTCACGCATATTGACTCTTGTTTGAAAATAAAATTAAATGATTGTAAGCGTATCCTGTCAAAGTAAAACAAATTCTAAGGATTTTTTCTTATGTTTGGCTTTACGTTAGAAAATGCAATGGGAAGCATCATAATTTTTAAAGATTTTTATTTAGATGTATTAGTCTGTTTTTATAACAAAAGTAAATAAAACATGACTATTTTCAAAAATAATTTTCTTGAGCTGGGTGTATCTTTTATTCCCTAAGTTGTGTATATCTTTCAAGTTTTACACTACGATATCTTGCTTTAGCATTTTCTGGGATTGAAATGAATTATTTCAAACTATTTAGTTGTCTCACTCACCTTTCTTTTTCTTACACAGGTGCTCTACTCTCTTATTTCATGGAGCCAGTTTACATTTCTTCAATAACAGTTGGACAATCACTTTCAAGTATTGAGAGCCCCAACATTCATGATCAAATGAGGAGAGCTGTCTATGATCGGCTTCTACCATTATCATCCAAGTTAACTTCTCCCTATAAAGTGAATAAGGTATTTTCAACTTTCTCCTACTGAGTGATTTCATATAGATGTAAAGAACTAATAGTTTGTGTGCATATTACAGCCCATTCTCATGGTAGCTCCAATACCTTCAAGCGAGTTTCAGCACTCTGAAACTGCCTCAGCAACCCTAACATGTGGGTATGCCTTAGTTCTTTACTCAATTCTTGATTTGGAGATTGTTATTCCAGTCCATATAAGTATAATTTTTTTGCTTAAATAACTATCACTCTTGAATGGAAGGTACTCTATATGTTGGAACAAGTTAGGCTTGCATGAAGTTATTCTTGGGACCACAGGAAGGAAGCAGGGTACCTCTGCAAAAGGAGCATTATCTCCCTCCACCGAGTCATCTCTGTGCAAGTAAGCCACATGTTTGTTGTAAACAGCTTGTAAGATGCAGAACATGGGGGGGGGGGGGTAGTGGGGTTTTCCATTGAAAATTCTTATCAGTGTAGGTTGAATTATCTGTTTTTTTTAACAAGTAGGTATATTGTACAAACTGTCCCTATAAATGAAAAACCATGCGTCCAGAACTGATGTTGGTATCATATTTCACAATTACTGGCCAGGAAGCGCCTTTTAGAGCTGTTTTGCCCACTTTATAGTGTTTGGCTGGATCAGCATGTTTCGTGTGAGACTTCTTATCAAGAACTAAAGGTAATATTTGCCTTTGAGGTCATTGGTGTACTAATTTATTTCTTAAAGTCGTGAGCACCTAATTGAATTCCTTGTCATCTAGAATCCTGGTCACGTTCCAACAATTTACATCATGATTGTACAATATCAATCTTTTAATGGAACATGACAATAGCATAAGTCTCAACTTAGTGGCATCCCATGAGTCATGCTATTTTCCATGCATTTCGGAATCACTTATTGAGTATTGACTTTTTTTAGAATTTTAGTCTCATTACTCTTTTTAATGAATGTTGCTGCAGGAACGGCATTCAAAGTAAAACCTTACCATTGTGCTTATCTGCATGAATATATATTGTTAATAATCTTATACACTTAATTGGCACTATATATTTAATGCCACTGACCCTGCTAGTTGGGATTAAAGTGCTCATGATGATGATTATGATTGTTGCCCACATTCTGTTCTAGATGGTCTTACATACAGTACTATCTTAGGGGTGACTGGACGGGGGCTAAAAAAACCTATAGGAATAAAGAATTTCTTTTTTCTGTTTGCAGGGGCAGGCTCTTGATTACATTCTAGTTTCAAAAACCTTTAAACAAAGCCCTTATTTTAAAAACTGGCTTATGAAACCTCACAACTTTGAGTCCTTCATGCATACTGGAATACAGGGCCAGTTATTCTTATGAGTTCACTTCTTTTAACAAAGCTGTTGCTTGAGTAAGCGTTACTTCCATTGCTTTACTTCTATGTTTCTTTAATTGATACTTCCTCTTTTGTTACTTTACCCATTGTTCCCAGCATTTAAAAAAGTAATAAAATTTTAGTTTAAAGATACTATAGTATGACGAGAAAACCCTATTAATGCTTTAAGTCAGTATGAAACAATTATGGACAAAGAAGGGCAATAGTAGTAAATAAACAATTTATATCCTCTGGGTAATCTAAACTGATAACTACAAGAGAATGAAGGGGGTAGTCATTTTAAGAATTCATTATAATCTCTTGGGCAGCGTAATCTTGGCAGTTAGATCAGGGAACTTGTATCTGGTCTACCGGCATGACTATAAATTTCTATCACTGCAGTTGTGCTCTTCTGGAATATGCATTTCCAGCAGTTTCCCAGATCTCAACCTGTTTGATTTGCCTGTGTTTCCTATCAAGAAAAGCTTGAAGACCGTGTGGATCATAGGGAGGTGGCATGGAGCAAGGGATTGAATCTGAAGCATTATTCACCATTGAATATAATCTGAATTTCTTCCTCAACCCTTTGACGGAGCAAATCAGCGCCTCCTTGCACACTTCAACGGCCCCTTTTGGCACACTTGGCTGATACTTCATTAGTTTTGAGTACTCTTGTAAGAGGTGAAACATGTAATCATACACATACTTCATTCTTAGGTTTTCTTGAACGTACCGGCTTCCTTCTTTCCCAATCTCTTGTGCCTGTGAAAGTCACCATAAGAGAAAGTAAAACCCGGGGATGGTTTGGTAAGGCTTATTTGACCGAATGATGTGTCAATAACTACTTATTTACTGAACGTGCTGATAAAGCAAGCAAGCACAATAAGCTGAAAAGGCCTGAACTGGCTACCAAACATAGCCTTAATCAGCACACTTATTCGAATTTTGTTCGTTTTATTAAAATTTATGATGATTTTACCTCTTTTGGATGTGAGTTGCCCCAGTCTACTGCAAACTTTGTTGATCTGCATTTGTCTCTTTCATTTATCGGCCAGTAATGGACTGTGGGCACAAGGCTTCGTGTGAAGAAATCATAGTAACGAGGGTTTATGATCAGACTCATGGAGTCACATGCCAGAATATACTTCTCACTAACTGACCATGAAACTCCTTCAACATAAATTTTATACCTGCCACACAAATCATTTTTGTGTGAAAGGAGAAATCATAAATGGGGCCTGGTTTGGTCGGTTGAAATGATTGCAACTGCTGAATCATTTGAAACGAAAAGCGTTTCGTAACATGAACATTCACTCCGGCCAAACAAGCAAGTCGAAAGGTACTTATACAGTGAGGACAGATCGTATCAGGCTGCCTGACGGGAACCGCCGTCAGGCCGAGGCCATTTGGGTACCTTCCCGGTGAAATTTTTTGATGAAATTTTTTGAGCATGTTCCTCATCAAGTCTAGTTTATTCATACCAAATGTCATCTAAAATCTCAATCTGGAAGACAGTTAAAAAAATTTCCTATTAAAACTGTGCATTATATATATATATATATATATATATATATAAACTGCCCAGTTTTAGTAGGGATTTTTTTTGACTGCCTTCCCGATTGAATTTTTAGCTGAAATTTGGTATGGAAAAACTAGACTTGATGAGGAACATGCTCAAAAAATTTCATCAAAACATTCCACCGGGAAGGTCCCCAAATGGCCTCGACCTGACGGTGGTTCCTGTCAGGCCGGCCTGACAGGATCGCGACTCCTTATACCGTTATACTTATTTAGTTGATATTGACCAAATAAGATGGAGTGTATTCCCAAACAGGGCCATGTTCTTGAAAACTGAAACACAGAAGAATTTAGCATGTACGGTACACACCTATGAGTGCATTGTTTCACTAAATCTGAGGTGTTGAATCCGTGAGTTTTCTCATGATGCCAGTCCTGAAAATGACTGATAGCATTTTAAGTAAAACAACAGTTGCAGTAACATTTCTGTACTTAGAGAGTATTCGAAATTTACAATACTTGCTTAGTTACCATATCATAGATCCGGGCATTATAATCTTGCTTAGAAGAGGCATTGCATTTAACAAGGTCCCGCCTTGCAATGCCTAGCTTTGTATTCCCTTTCCAATATGCATAAGGTTCTCTATCCTCCCACTTGGTCTCCTCATTGCTTTCTTGCAACTCTTTCTTCAATATTTCCCAAGGCTTTATTTTAAGTTCTGGCCTGTAAAGCCGAAAACCGTTGAATAGTAAACCTTAGTAGATTGATAAAATACAAGTCATAGCTTAGGGGGGTGAACATGCAATTACCAACCCCAGAAGGACCAATCAGGAAACACAATGTCATAGCTCGAGTCATCACTACAATAATGAAACAACGGTAGGGGAGCGGAACCGTGCTTCGATATGTTGTGGGCCTGCTTCTTTATCACAGGCTTGTCACCACACTCAAACATCATATCTAAATCCGGGATTCGACCGGGATATAATGCAAGAAGCTGTTGAATGCCCCATAATGTGACCATGTCCCTGGTTTGGAAAGCTTGTTTATACTTTTCCACATACATGATTCCATTCAATATAATCACTCTGATATGTGCTACTTCTTGTGCCCTTTCTATCATTTCCCTTGTAATTCCTGTCACTTTCCATGGCCGTAGGTCTTCATGGATCCACTTGAAGTAGTCAGGGCATTCTTTAGCTTCTGACCTCTGTTCAGTATTGTGCACAAGTAAACCTTGTGGGCATTTAGTTGAGCATGATATCTTAGGGAATATTTTGGTAGAATCTTTTTGCAATGATCCTGAGAGAATAGACTGAAAGAAATTTGCACACCAATGATAATAATAAGTAGAGTCCTAATTATCATAACAATAATGATAACAATGATTGGTATAATGCGTAAAACCCCTTTGTGATATACGAATTTTGTACGATTCAAAAATACACTGAAATCCTTTTTGTTATGATTAATCATGCATGTAATATATCTTGGAAGAACAATTTTAACTATTGAATCAAGGCACTTTTGTATGATTTAAGTATGTTTACAATGTACATGCACGTTTAACCATAAAACCAAGACATGCTTTTCGAAGTAGATCGCGAGGGACTAATACTTCGTATCAGAAGGGGCTTCCTGTATTAATCTACCAATGATTTAAATTGCAAAATTTGGTGATTGAAAAAAGCAATATAAATAATTTTTTTTATGTAAATACCATATCCATCCATTGAACTGTTATTGCAGCAACCAGAAGGATTGCAAGAAAGAATCCTACGGTAGTACTCTTATGAGGCCTGCTTATCATTCCATAAAGTAGTTTGATTTACCTATTTTGGAAAGATAGATAAACAAATTCATTAGCGTAAAGAATTTGCCTTATTCCCTGGTAAAAAAATCAATTCAAGATATGAGAGAATTCGTAAGTGATTAGGAGAAATTAAAGACAACGAGGGGACCACATAATGGGATTAATGTCATTCCCTCATTTCCTATTAGCTTGTTTATGACTTAAAAAAATCACCTTAAAATTCTTATTCACAATTCTTGGGTTGTGAAGAATTGAAGAATCAATCATGAAAACAGGGGCGGCCGTAGTAGAGATCTAGGGGGGTCACGACCCCTGCAATCTTTTTAGTATATACACACACACACACATTATCTCCGTTCTTAAATAATGCAACATGTTGAATTTTACACTATTCACGTATTGTATTTTGACTCCATTTTATATGAGAGAATTCTCTAAATTGGAGTAAAAATGTTTTGAAAATTCAAAATAGGACTATAATTTTTTATTCCCTTAATAGGAGTAAATTTCTGCCAAGTTTGGCATTTGTAGGTATTAAACATGACATTTTTTTTTCAAACTTGACAGATTACTCATATTCAAGGAATAAACATGATAGTCCTATTTTGGAATTTCAAAACGTTTTTACTCCTATTTAGGGAAATTTTTGTTTTATTTAATGTATCAATATTTTTTTATGAAAAAAATATTGTTAAATTTGTCTCATTATAAATTTTCAAAATCTATTTTTTTTTAATTTTTTTACTTATACAAAATTATACTGTGTATATATTAATGACCAAAGTTGTGTCTCGACAAATGTGAAATGTTGACCATTGCATATATTTAAGAATGGAGGAAGTATATATGAAAAATTATTTTAGCCAGAGCCTAGATGTTTTTTTTGTTTAAATTATGACCCCTGCAAAATGAATTTTCTGGGTTCGCCCCTGCATGAAATTAAAGTGATAAGACTTCAGGTTTTTTCAGCACACAAGTATATCAACTTATGCCCATATTCCATGGTTAGGAAGAACAAGTTGTCAAATTTCTAACTATATATCGGAATAGAAGTACAGAAGTAAAGAAACATAAATAAAAAAACTTGGCTATTTCTTTCTCGCACACATGTATTAATTTAAGTTACCTCTTTACATTATAATTTCATGTCTTATCCACATTAGAGTCCATCAAAATGAAACAAACAATGTAATTTGTTTGACACTAAAACGATGGATTTCAAAAGAGGTCATCCCAATGAAAATGTTGACATTATATTGAATAATGGGGGTCTTCGTAAAATATGATTAATTTTAAGCTTATGTCCAAAAAGTTGCTACTTTAACATGAATGTGACTAACAAGGTAATAAATTTGGATAAACATGATGTCAGGCAATTTTTATGTCACTACCAAATTTTAATGTCAATAACACATGTCACTACCAAATCTAATCTTCAATTTAAGTAATATAAATTCGGAATGTTGTCTCTTTCTTGAGTAAATAATTAGATGTGTACATGTGGAACGTAATGGTATCATGAATGTATCCAAAATTTTGAGTTGATATCGACTGAAGAGCTGAATAATTATATCAGGTTTAAACGTTAGTTGGATGAGCTATATATGTGAAATGAAACACTAAAGATTGACAAAAATTAAGTTACTGTGAACTTCATCCTACTATAACCTTAACAAAGATCTTCACTAGAAGGGATGTGTGAGAGTTAGATAACTTGTATACTTCGTAGTTCGTACTATCGTATATGTTAAGGGTAATGAAAAAATAATGGAGGGAAACAATACTAGGGGGCAGGAAGGAAAATGATTAATAGAATATATTTTCCATCCCAATTTAATTTTGCGAAATACACAAATAAAACAAATTAATTAGGATGTTTTCTTTTGGACTGAAATTTGCTGGTCTGGTCTGGTCTGGTCTGTTTAAGTCTGGTCTGATCTGATCTGGTCTGAACTGGTCTGGTCTGGTCTGGTAAACGTATGGTTTCTGTGTATTTTATAACTATGGAAGTCTGGTCTGGTCTGATCTGTTTAAGTCTGGTCTGATCTGGGACTGAAAACAGTCCAAAAGAAAACATCCTTACTAACAACAGGAACAATTACCATAAAAAGAAACAACACAATTACTTAAAAAAAACAACGGCAATTAGGTAACTAATACCGACCACTTTTTACATGTGGTCGTTAAAGATAAACTCTATAACAACGAACTAATTATTAGTCGTTAAAAGATATTTTTAATGACAATTTATGAGAGTCGTCGTTATAACTTGGTCGTTAAAAGTCCTTTTTCTAGTAGTGTGGAGAGGAGGGGAAGGGTAATGAAGGTTTATGACCGACCCTCCGTTTTTGTTTGAAAGTTTAAAAATGGAAGGGATGATTTATTTTGGAGTCTGCTCGTAACCTTCCAAAGCAGAAATTGAATATGTTGTACATGTGAAATGTTAAAGTCTCACACCGGATATATCTGACAGAATAACACACTATATTAAGATATGAGCTACTCCTCCTATCAGGTTAAAGTCCCACACCAGATATCTTTGAAAGAATTAAACACTATATTAAGACATGAGCTACTCCTCCTATCAGGTTGACCTTTTAGGATGGAACCCCCGAGTCCTAACATGGTGTGGCTCCTTATGAAAAATGATGACACGATTATAAAAAAATGACAATGACGAACCGATGAAAAAATGAATAACGACACGATTCAAACGAAGTGTTTGGTCATGATGAGAGATGTTAAAGTCTCACACCGGATATCTTTGAAAGAATGAAACACTATATTAAGACATGAGTTACTCCTCCTATCAGGTTGACCTTTTAGGACGGAACACGGATTTTAATTATAACTTTACATAGATTTTCTCTTTACAAACTTTGTAATTGTCAAACAATTCAGAAGTATTTCCTTGAATTGAGTTCTCCACCCAGCCTCTCCTATTGCTAACTTTCAAAGACTTCCCCTTCAAAACTCTCAAACATATCATGCACATCTTAAGTGTATAAGTTAAGAGCGCTTAAATTGCCTACAAAACACACGATCGATGATAGGAAAAATATCATAACACTCCTAAATAATACTCCGTATTCTAATCTCACTTTGCAACAATTAAGCCTTATATGTACTTATTATTATGCCCAAGATTCAAATATTGATATTGGGAGGGAAATGTATCATTCTTTTATGAAAACAGCTATATACGAAGTATATGCATGTCCAAGTGGGTACAGTATAAATAATAAAAACATTTATTAAATATTGGGATATCAATAGACAAAGATTAAAAGAAATCTCTCATCATTTGAAATAAATATAGATAAGCAACCTTGATAGCTTAATTATATACTACTCCAAGTATATGTGATACGAATAGTGCATCACAATCTTAAAAACAAACATCATTTTTTTCGTAGGCGTCCAAGTAGTTATGGTCACATAATAACTCCACATAAGAATTTTTGGGAGAAATTTGCCTCCGGTAGGATCAAATCCTATCTCTTTTACAAAAATAAGACTACCTAATGTTTTTCCCACTCGTATTACCTATTTAGTTCTTGATTAGGAAACTTATTTCTAACTTACCAAATTTGCCCTTCAGTTTTAAGAAGCAAAACAAATCTTCCGCCTCTCCCACGTTCCAGAGTCCAAACATTTTCCCCATCTAATCTCCTTGCTCAAGCTTAGACATGGCCAGACCACCGTTCTAATCTCCATCGGAGCTTCAGGGAAGACTTCACAGTTATCTTCATTAGAGACTCTCCAGCTCAGATCTGCTTTGCCGATAGGTTCCTCCTTCATCTCTGCCATCCAGTTATTCCTCCATCTTCGCCGCCCAATCCTTCCTTCACTCCGACCGCCTCTGTTGGCCGATTCTATCTCCAGTCACCATGGAGAACTACTCCTACCCTTCCTATATGGATTCCAGCGTCTCCTCCCCTATTCCCCCTATTTCTGTGAAATCGACTTCAATATCCTCTCTAGGATGATTCTAATAAGCCCCTTCCTCCCAATTTCAAGGTCAAGTTCGATGTCCTTTAAGTTTTACGTTACCTGCTCTGCTATTGAGCTATTATCAGAACTTATTGTTGGTTTAATGACTATTTATTGTCTATGTATTGTCTGCTATTGAGCTATTGTTAGAACTTATTGTCTGTTTATTGACTACTTTTGTCTATGTATTGTCTAGTGTTTGCAAGTTTGAGTTTGGATCTGGTTTCTTCAAATGTTTTGCATAGTACCTAATGGCTTTGTGAAACTATGAAATAGAAGTTCGAAATTGGCAAAATCAATGTCCAAAATCAGGAAAGAAGAGGAAGAAGAAGAAGAAGAAGAGGAGGAGGAGGAGAAGGAGGAGGAAGAAGAAGATGAGGAAGAAGAGGAGGAAGAAGAAACCTCTGGCGGTGGCGTCTGATGAAGTCAACCGGAGCAGCTTGATTTCGAAATATATGGATCTGGTGAAGTCGATTTGGAAGCTCTCCGTCAAGTTTGCTGCGAAGATTGAAGCTCATCGGTGTCAAAATTTTCTTCCAGAAAAAGCTCTTCGTTTGGGTCCTCGTCAAAGGCAACATCGTCCGCTAGGGGATTTACTATCTGATTTTATATTAAGGGTAGAATGGTCAAAACAAAGGCACTTATGTCCTGCGCCATCAGTTTCTAATCCTAAATTTGGAAAGTTTATACGTTTTGGTCTTATTTGTAGAAATCTCTCCCAAAATTTGGTGATAGTTTTATTATCTGGCCCATATGATATTGAGAGATGGAAATATTGACTTACCCACTCTATCGGTAATTTTGTGATGTTCACTTAGCATTGCTCTTAGAATTTTCCATGAGTCAATTTGAAAATATACATGGTGCTGGCTGTGAAGTACAACATACCATTTTGTCTTCTGGCTTAAAGCAAGCAATGAACTTTCTGCTATTAAGGAAAAAAACAAATAATGAACAAACATTTTTTTTTTTTAAAATGTGGGTGATATATAGGGAGAGGGAGAGGGAGAAGGAGAGAGATCATAGGTTTTATGAGGTGACAAAGAAATCAAGGCTTTGCCATAAGGGTCTTTGAGAGTTTCCATGGTATCCAGTGCAAGGAAATGCTATGTTTAAGGTTTAGTATCCCAATTGGCCAATTAATTGGTTTTTCATAAATACTCCGTATTCAATATCCACGCACTTAGTCACTAATAGATTACAAATATGTATCATCAAAATTATGAAAAGTTGAAATTTTAAAAACTCATTTTGAAATGAATCTAAGAAAATTTCACAATGGTTAAAATGTGTTTTCACGGTAAGTATTTTAGAAATTGTTCAACATATAACTAAAACATTTACGAAGTTCGATCAAAAATAGGACTACACATATATGTTTTATACTCCAAATAAGACTTATTTGATCCTATTAAAAGAATAATTAGTTGATTAAAACTTCTCAAAATAGGAGTGAATTAGTCCTATTTTGGAAATAAACAATGATATGTAATCCTATTTAAAAACATAATCTTTATTTTAATCCTATTTAGAAAATTTTCTATATACATTTTTTCCAAGAAAGAAACATATACTACGTACATCCATATGTTCTGCAAGCATGATAATATATATGGCGGCATGCCAACCCATCATTATACATACCTTGGAAAACATGGGGGATTTAGGACATCAAATTATACTCCCTCCGTCCTATTTTAGTTAGCCAATCTTGACTTTTCCGATCAAAGGTCGTAAACTTTGAGCAATTATTTGAACTAATATATTTATGCAAAAAATAATAATCATATACTTTTATGATAGTATTTTCAACAAAGAACATTTTCATATAATTTTCATATTATTAATATTTTATCTATATAAATATATAAGCGGTCAAAATGAGGTACTATTGACTTGAAAAATCATGTTTGACTAAGTAAATTGGGACGGAGGGAGTATAAACTAGGATGTGAATCTTATTTCTAACCTTATTAAAACGGTCTCATTTAAGAAGTTAGAAAAACTAATGACTGCAAAATTGTCTCAGTCTTACTTAAATATTTCAATATAATTTAAAATTAAGAAAAGTAAATGCATGCCCGCATTGCAACTTAGCAGTACGTGTTTCTTTTTAATTAAAAACTCCGTATTTCAATTATATGAGAAAATAGATTACGGATGTATAGATAATAGATACGATAAGGTTTTATTAATAAATGAACTAGACAATGTTTAGAAACTAGATCATGAATAGATAGGGGTTTTCAATGTAATAGACCATATATATTTAGATCAAACAACATGTTCATCAATTGAAAAAAATACGAAAGATATATGCAAGATACACTTGCGATAAATTGTACTAGTACTAGCTAGCTAGTTACAAGCTTAGGAAGCTATATATATATATATGGCTGATTCGATTACATATATACAGTTTCTATAAATTTCACCGTCCAAAAGATATACTCCGTATATAGAAATAACTCAAAATGGAAACTAAAAATAGAAGATCGATCGATAATTAGTTCTGCATGCATGCAATGCCAATATGCCATTCATGTAAATTAGGAAAGGCCAACACCATACTATCTTCTATATAAATGGCAAAACCGCGGCCACATAGCCTTCAAGTCTCAAAACCCCTCAAAAGCATATTGATCCAATTCAACAATGGCAAAGCTCATGATAATACTCGCCTGTTCTTTCTTAGCATCTCTTCCATTCGATGCGTTTTATGGTCATTGGGAACTCTTTTTGGGGACCCAACTCAAACACATAAGTAAGTTCAGTTCGGTAGGTTCGAAAGGGATTGCTTTAGATCCACCGGTCACAACCATAAACGCCGACAACTTTGGAGCAATCGGTGATGGCAAAACCGATGATACGGTGGTGAGTCAATCTTAACGAAACGGTTTCATGCACGAAGCTAGCTATACACATATATACTCGTGCATATAATAAGATTGAATAAGTAACATGTACGGTTCAATCTAATGCACCAATATATGTGTGTAATTTAGATTAATTAGTTGAAGAAAAATTTGTGTTACTCGTTTTATATACATGTACTTCACGGTATTAATTTTATTAGTATTTGAATTTAATGGTTCTGGTAAAATGGTTAATAATATATTTTCAGGCTTTTCAAAAGGCTTGGGAAGCAGCATGTTCGTTATCTACTCCAACCCCAGTCAATTTGCAAGTATCCATGATGAAGAACTATCTTTTGAAACCAGTTTCATTTTTGGGGCCATGCAAATCACCTATTACAGTTCAGGTTGAGTTGTGTATTTATATATTTATTTATTTATTTATTTATTTATTTATTTATTTATTTATTTATTTGTTTATTTATTTATTTATATATTTTTCGCATATTTTTGCAAGAATTTTTATAGCTAGATGCATATATATATATATATATATATATATATATATATATATATATATATATAATCAAAGTATCAATAAACTTTTGTTTGTTTATTTGTGTGCAGATCAACGGAAATATTGAAGCTTCTGATAATCACGACGACTACAAAAATGATCTGAAGCATTGGCTTAAGTTTGAGAGTGTCCAAAATTTGACTATTGAAGGGGGTGGAACTTTTAATGGGAACGGGAAAACATGGTGGGAGAACTCTTGTAAAATAAATAAAAGTCTCGTAAGTGATCATCTTTGTCTTTTTTTAGTATATACGAAATACTAGTATAAGGCCATATATCAATTATATATAAAATTTAGTTTTTCAATTATTTTTAATTTTAGATAATTATATTATTTTACTGAATTGGATGATGCATGTTGTATATTTTCTGAATCAATTCTCCCCTTTTCTTTGTAGCCATGCACGGATGCGCCCACGGTACGTTTTCTTTTTAGCACCATATTGTTAATTATTACTCCGTATCTTACTTATCAATTATCTTTTCGATATACGTAGTATTCCCTCCGTCCCCCTAAGTTTGGGACGGAGGGGTGTTGTGTGGTTTTTAAGAAAAAGTGGAATTGTATGGTTGATATTGAATTGATAAAGTGTAAATAAAGTAAGAATGAATTCTAACCACTCAAATGTTACCAAATATGGTATGAGACAAACTTAGTGGGACGGACGAAAAAAGTAAAAAGGGACAAACTTAGGGGGACGGAGGGAGTATATGTTAAAAAAATTATCTTTTCGGTATATATGTGTTTAATTTACACAATTACGCATACATACCAAAAAACAATACTTTTTAACTAAAAGTAAAATCATTGTAAATTTAGAAAATACATAGCTAGTAGAAGTACTATATCATCATTCCTGAGTAGAAGTATATTAACCCAATTTTAAAATCACACTGTCATATTTTCGACATTAATTAAATAGTCAACAATAATGTTACGTTATAATTGACCATAATTCCCAAATATCAAAATAATTAGTTCCATTAATGAGAATAACATGGTAATTAATCATACGTATTTTTATTTATGTTACATAATTATACTCGCAAACACACATATATAATGAAAGTGTGTAACACGTATGTATATGTACAGGCTGTGACCTTTTACAAGTGTGAAAGTTTGTTGGTGAAAAACATTAACATTCAAAATGCACAAAAGATGCAAGTCTCGTTCGACAATTGCAACAATGTTAATGTCTCCGATGTTGTTGTGACGGCGCCGGAGGACAGCCCCAACACCGACGGTATCCATGTCACCGGCACAAAAAACATTCACATATCCAGCTGCGTCATCGGAACCGGTAATTAGTTTAGCGTTCTTTAATTTGTGAATGTATATATTGTTTTCAGTAAAATTACAATTGATCGATATATAGATTAAAATAAAATACACTTACTGAATTTCTTATTAATTAAATTATTGCAATAACATCGATCTCCGATGTTATATATTGTATACACCAAATAATTAAAAGTTCATGTCTTATTCGGCACCAATTTTATCACAGATCTATAATGCATGTGTAATAAATTCCTACAGAACTAATAATCATATATAAATAATTACTATTTTCGTTTATTAATTAACGTAGCTAATACTACGTATTATTGACAGGTGATGATTGTATTTCGATTGTGAGTGGCTCCCAAAACGTTGGAGCAACAAATATTACTTGTGGGCCAGGGCATGGAATCAGGTTGTTCATAATTTTATGTTTATACTCCCTCCGTCCCGGGGAGAAGTTCCCGGGTTGACTTTCACACATTTTTAGGAAATAAAGTTATTGAGGGGTAAATTTTACTGTTTAGCACTGTTTCGACACTGTTTGGCACTGTTCGACACTGTTTGACACTGTTTTGCACTGTTTGGCACTGTTTTAATGTAAGATAACTTTCCATTTAGGGAAATGGGAAGTTTCTTTTGCGACATCCAAATAAGGAAATTGGGAACTTCTCCCCGGGACGGAGGGAGTATGTGTGTATCATTAATAATATGATTAGGAAATTAGTAAAGTATATATGTTGATTGAATTGATTATCAAAAATGTTTGAGGTACACACTTTGTGTACACACTTTGTGTACACTCGTCTGTCTCCTAAGAAAATTTTGTCTGTCACAGACAATTCATATATGAGTTGTCTGTGACAGACAAAATTTTCTTAAGAGACAGACGAGTGTACACAAAATGTGTACACAAAATGTGTACCTCTAGCATTTCTCATTGATTATATATATGGTGGAGATTAGCATTGGAAGCTTAGGAGCTGATAATTCGGAAGCTTTTGTGTCTGACATTGTTGTGAACGGGGCAAACCTCACTCGCACTACAAATGGAGTCAGGATCAAGACATGGGCGGTAATTATACCACGTATTAATTAATTTATTCATTTAGTAAAATACTACCTTCATCCCGAAAAGGTCATACTGATTTTTCTTGGTCAACGATTTTCAAATTTTGAACAATGATTTTAATTATTATATTTGTATACTATGTACATTTTTATAAATTTTATACTTTGAAAATATTTTGAATAAAGAACAATTTGATATAGTTTTTATATTCAAAATAATTTCACATTAAGAAAATATCATTGGTCAAATTTGGTTGTCATTAACCAAGAAAAGTCAATTTGACGAACCTTTTAGGACAGATTGATGGAGTATTATAAAAGCTAACCACGTACTAATATAATGTACTAGGTAGTATATTAGGCTCTCTTTAGTCTTCTAAAAAAACTCAATTTAACATATGGTTATACGAAGTATTTAGCAAATTAAATTACCCAATGCAAAATGAGTAAAGCTAAAGTACTTTCTATGCATTGATGTTCTTTTCTAAATAGGAAGAAATTAGTATTGCCATTTAAAAAGATGACGATACTCTATGATCGAGGAATTAAAACCATAATCTAAAAAATGACACTATGACAGTATGATCTCCCTATGACAGCACACCGATTTGGTTTAACGATGATATTTTACACTATTAGTCTATTACTGCTATTTAGGAAAAAAAGAGCTAGTACCTTCAAACATGGAATACATTTATGTTTTATTTTTATTTTGGGTGATTTCTAATACCGGAGTAAAACGTTTATTTATATATGCAAGAGTAACTCTGATTATGACTTTTTGATCAAACATGCAATTATAAGTTACGTTTTCCAAAGGAAACAAAATATATCAATGTCATTTGATTGTAAAATCTTTTATTTTTATGGAAGTGATTTTTTTTTTTACCAACATTTTTTTTACAAATACCAACATTATTTATAATTGAGTAAAGTGGACATTTGTTTTTGAGAGGGTGCTTGCATAATTAGTTCATATACTGTAATACAGTATATAATTAGTTCATATTTGTATTTTGGATGCATGTGTGCAGGGAGGATCTGGAAGTGCGCAAAACATCACATTTGAGAATATAGATATGCATGACGTGGAGAACCCCATTATTATCAACCAAAACTATTGCGATCTGAAGGATAAGCCATGCAGCACCCAGCCGGTACGTATATATATATAATCACATTATTTAATATTTTAAGTAAAAAATATTTAGAGTAAAAAAGATCAGAAAACAATAGTAGAAGATGATTAATATAATAGAGAGAAAATTATTTAGGTTTATACACTAAGTATATATGGAGTATGCATTTTGATATTAATTTAAGATGATTGATTATATAGAGAGAAAATTGTTTAAACAGTAGTGGTGAAATGTCAGTAGTTAATTAAGTTCCTGAAATAGGATCATCTTTAATTTGTTTCTTCCTAATAAAGAGCATCCAAATCATGAAAAGATCACTATTGAAAGTTATAATCTTATGGTTTCTATTCCTTCTATTAGGACTCGATCACAAGTCATGCATATGGAATAAATCGCACTTAGTCCGGCCTATTTGTAAAATATATCTATGTGTACTATTCCCTACGCATATATACTTGAAATTTAGACAAAATGTACAAATAAGACTGCATGTATTTTATTTCCGAAATATGACTTATTTAATCCTAATAAAAGTATAAACTTTCATTTTTAGAAGTGAATATAATTCTTATTTTAGAACGAAAACAATGACAGTCTTATAAGTGCAATGACGGGGATAAAAATATTGTGTATTTATTTTACTAAATAAAATAGTAACTTTAAAGAACCATTTTGGCCTGGTAACGAGTTTTTTAAAGAGCCACTGCACTATAGTGATTCCCTCATACTAGCTAGGTGCGTACTAATTTAAGTCATATTTCTATCCATAATTTGTGTGAACAACGTAACATTCAAGGGAAAACGTACATACATCTGAATGAATACATACATTATTATTATAATAATAAATTAATAATTATTATTGTTTTTATTATGATTAAATATACATGTCACGCATGCATGCAGGCGTCGACGGCGGTGGAAGTGAAAGAAGTGAGGTACGAGAACATATCCGGAAGTAGCGGGACGGAGGTGGCGGTGGTGTTCAACTGTAGCATGCCGCATCCCTGCCAAGGAATTGTTATGCGGAACGTCAGCCTGGTGGGGGAAGGTGGCGCTCCCGCCAAAGCTCAATGCAACAATGTCAATTTCGGCAATAATATCGCCGCCGATCACGTCTCGCCGCTGTGCGCCGCCCCGCCCACCGCCCACCCCACTGATCTCATTATTACTCAGTTTGTTCACCATCCACACCCCAGCTCAGATTATTAATTAAGATTGAATATCAGTAGCTAGCTAGCTTAATTAATTATTACTCCGCAGTTTAATTAGTTTGGCTTATGGGAATTATTATTTTTTATATACGGATCGGAGTATATTACTTGTATTTTCTCCGGGTGCATAGTACGTACTTCGTCCTAATTATCCATTAATATATTCTTTGTACGTATAGTACTACACTACTACTGCTATTGAATTGATTGCTTCTATATACAGTATTATTATATACTCTATCTTACGAACACTCCATTTCTATAATTAATTCTTATGTTACTTGCATGCTCAAGCTAGAATGAGAAAAGTCCGTAAAATATGAGTAAAAAATTGAACAAAATTTATAGAAATACGAAGTACTACTTAGGTATATGTTTTACTCCCAACTTATTCTTTTAATAGGACTAAATAAGTCTAATTTGTGGAATGAAACATACATAGTCCTATTTTTAAACTTTGCCAATATTTTACTCCTATTTTGAACAATTTCTTAATTATTTGTTCAAATTAATTAATGAGTACCGGCCGGTGCAGATTTTTTAATTTCTTTTAAGTATTAATTAATTATGACTTGTTTAACCCTTAAAAGAGAATGGTTAGTGGTTCTTCAATTCTCTAAATACTAAGTAGTTCAAAATTCTTATCCTAAATAATTAAGTATCGTAGTTCAAAAATTATAAATTACATTTTTTGTATTGAAATTAATATATAGTTACCTTTGGATGTGTTACATAAGAATTTAAATAATTAATTAGCTAGATTCTCAACATGCACAAGTAGCACATATATAAATGCTTCTGAAACGGTTAATAAAATAAAAATCACGCATTGATCGAATTGTCCAACAATCAAAATAAATAAAATTAGACCGAGTTTGAAGAATGAATTAGTCGTGTTTGCTAAAGAGTACTATTTTACTACTTTTTCATATAATATTTTCTTTGTTTTTTTTTATAAAATATATTCTCAAGGTAAGTTTTTTATAACTCAGCATATTTAAACAATTGAGTGGCTTCATGCAAAATTCTACAAACTTTAGTACGTTAGACCAATTTTAATTTAATGTTAAAAATATGGCTCATAGTTTATTAGCATTTTTTATTTCCATGTTTTCTTTTCCTGGATCCGCCACTGATTCTAGTCATGTATAGAGAATTCTCTCAACAAATTATGAATACAATAAGCTAATTAAGGTTTCATTAATAAATAGACTAGACAATATTTATGGCATAGATTTATGAGGATCCATATGACTCTTTTATAAAGTCATATGATGAGATATTGTGACATCATCATCATTACCTATTTTTAGTAGGATCCAATTAATTAAAAAATAAATGGTGATAATAGTGGCACAACACCCATATAACTCCATAAAGGAGCCATATGGGCCTCTTTAAAAAATTATATTTACAAAATAGATTATGGCCTCTTTAAAAATAGACGAAGTACTAGTTCATCAATTGAAAACGAAATACCAACTAACTAATTTAATAAAACACATTGATATATGCAGATATATATAATTGCTATAAATTGTTTTAGGCACTTTTAGCCACTAGCTAGTTCAGGTCGCTATTACGTACTCTATCAATATGCATGGTCAACTGGATAACATATACTTTTAGTCAATAGCTAACTTCTATATATCTTTCACCATTTTAGAGATATAGAAAGAACTCAAAGTGGCCTAATAATAGAAAATCGATCGGGAAGCTAAGTTTTGCATGCGAATGCAATTCCATCCACGTAAATTAGGAAAGCCAACACCATGTTACTACTATATATATAAAGGACCTAATTAATCAGATCATATATAGATTACAGAACCCCACATAGCCTTCAACTCTAAAAAAACATAAAACATTTCGATCCAATTCAACATTATAATGGCAAAGCTAATGATAATACTCATCACTTGTTCTTTCTTAGCATCTCTGCCATTCGATGCGGTTTATGGTCATTCGGAAGTCTTTCCGGGGACCAAACTCAATCACGGAAATAAGTTCGGATCAGTAGGTTCGAAAGGGATTGCTTTAGATCGGTCTACAACCATAAATGTCGACAAGTTTGGAGCAATCGGTGATGGCAAAACCGATGATACAGTGGTGAGTAACACTTACATGAAATGCATTCATGCACAAATCAAATAAGTTGGAATATGTAACCCGTACTGTACGATTTCATGCACCAATAAATTAAATGAGTATATGTGTAACCTATAGCTAAAGAAAAAATCATGTCAGTCTTTTTTATACATAGTACTTGGTATTAATTCTAATAAGAAATTACTCGAAACAGGACTAAATATATTTCTCCCAAAATAGGACTTATTATTCAAAGAGTAAATGAATAAGTAGTACTACATATAAACTTCTCAAAATAGGAGTAAATGAGTCATATTTTATGGGGGAAAGTAATAACTCTTACTATCGTATATTTGAGAAATTGTACATGTTATGTTTTATTATTTCCACATAGGCAATTTTCTTTTTATTTTAATTAGTATTTGAATTGAATAGTTGTGGTCGATGATAAAATTTCAGGCATTTCAAAAGGCGTGGAAAGCAGCATGTTTATCTAAAGTAACCCTGGTTACTATGCAAGTACCTATGAAGAAAAGCTATCTTCTGAAACCAATTTCGTTTTTGGGGCCGTGCAAATCACCCGTTAAAGTTCAGGTTGAGTTGTATATTTTCCTAATTAGTACTTCGTATTAATTTTACATTTTCTTAAGCTTTTTATAAATGCACATATTTGATCAAAATATGAAATAACTTTTTAACTATTTGTTTATATGCAGATAAAAGGGAACATTAAAGCTTCTGATAATCACAACGACTACAAAAATGATCTGAAGCATTGGGTTAAGTTTGGAAGTGTTCAAAATTTGATGGTCGAAGGTGGTGGAACTTTTAATGGGAATGGGAAAACATGGTGGCAAAAATCTTGTAAAGTAAATAAAAGTCTCGTAAGTCATCTTCATCTGACTTTTTAGTAAAAGTATTGTTGTGTATTTTTTTCGAAAGGCAAACCACCAAAATCAGTGGGTAAATGACGGTATATTATTTTGTAGTTATTAACCACTTAAATAAATTACAAAACTTAGGGTGGATCCAGGCTCTAGGTTAGACTTGAGGGAATAATAATTATACTAAACATAACATTAGCGAGGTGAAGTAAATATGAAGAATGGAAACATTTACGTTAAAAAGTTAAAAATAATTAAGTTATCATATCTACCTATAGTCTTAGCATAGATCCTCCCCTGTAAAACTTAAAATATGTAGTACTTTGTGTATTGTTTGCGACATTACCATAATCTTTAAAAAATGAAAGTATGAATGTATGATCTCACTATGACAACACAATTTGTTAGTTTGTTTTTTAAAAAAAGTAGTACTTTGTATACTGTCATCAATAAAATTCGAAAAGTTCTTCAATTATTTTTTTAATTTGTATTTTATTTAAATAAGTATATTACATATTTGAGTAAGAATATATTTAGAGTACTTATATATAGAAGTATTTCTGAACGAGTTGTCTCCCTTTTTTGTAGCCATGCACGGATGCGCCCACGGTACGTTTCCTTTTCAGAACCATATTATTCTAGAGTCATATAATCTTTATGTATCAATTTTCTTTTCTGTTTTAATATATCACGGAAACAACGCCAAAATAGGAATAAAACCATTATAAAATTAGAAAATAGGATTGTTTTTCTCCTAAGGACTAAGTTACAGCATTTCTAAAACCATATTGTCATATATTAATTTAATACGATAGTAATATAGTATATCAAACATGAACTTGCATATCAATATTAGTGTCATAATTGATTGTATTTTTCAAATACGACCGTAGCTATTCCAATATGTACACTTCACTTTGTTTTTCTCTTCTTTAAGGAAATTTTGAAGTAGCCATTTGTTTATTTCAACGTAACTTTGATAAATATATACACCCTAAATAAGCACTTAGTGTGTATATATATAGAGTCATAGAGCTCGATTTAGGTGAGAAAAGTTCTTTGTGATATAGGAATAAGAATGGTCCACATTTTCATAGCGTTGCAAATCTCTAGTTCATGAGATAATGCACATTTCTGAAATAGATCACTTTCTCGATTGTTAAGACTAATGAGTTAAAAAAAATTAATCATATACTTCGTATTTTTTTTTGGCAAAAAATATATCTGCGTGACGGATTGATATGAATGATATGATCTTTACTCTATGTATATAATTTTATTTTATTATATACTACGTATAAACGTAATTAATACTCCGTATATATAATGAATGTGTGCAACACCTATGTATGTACAGGCTATGACCTTTTACAAGTGTGAAAGTTTGTTGGTGAAAGACATTAACATCCAAAATTCACAAAAAATGCAAGTCTCGTTCGACCACTGCAACAACGTTAATGTTTCCAACGTTGTTGTGACGGCGCCGGAGGACAGCCCCAACACCGATGGCATCCATGTCACCAGCACAACGAACATTCACATATCCAACTGCGTTATCGGAACGGGTAATTTCTTTTATTTGGCAAAATCGGATCCGGAATGGGTAATTAATTCATTTAAAAACATTATAAACAAAAATGATGATATATAACTTTGGTATTCGGTTAATTATTTTATTTGTATGAAATTTATAATTTTATACATTTACAAAATTATGTTAACGAAAAATATTTCCACATAATTTTTATATTGTTAAATAATTTTGAACCAATAAAAGTGGGTATGGGGAAGCTCAATTTTGTGGAGGGAATGAATACGATCTATGGACAACTAAGCGTACATTTGAACTAAATAAATTTGTACGGAACTACGTACTAGGAAGAAATATTACTAATATTTTAGATCAAGATTTCTTAACTATTTAATCTAATTTTATTGACAGGTGATGATTGTATTTCGATTGTAAGCGGCTCCCAAAACGTTGGAGCAACAAATATTACTTGCGGGCCAGGGCATGGAATAAGGTTATATATATTGACATATTTATTTATATATATATGTTAATGAGTGTGTGTATTATTATAATTAGGAAATTAAATAATGTATATATGTTAATTAAATTGATGATTAAAATATTAAATTGATGA